AAAAAAAATCAAATTCTTTTGATTTTATTGAATATTTGAAAAAATTCACATTCATGAATTAATATATGAATAATACTTTAGTTTATTATATTGTCATAAATTCAAAAAATAAATTAAATATAATAAGAAATTAATTATAATGCAATTTTTTTCAACAAAATAAATTATGTCGGACGAATCGGGGAAGTCACCTTCAACTCCCAATGTTCGTCAAGTGAAAGAAATCTTAAGCGAAGAAACCATTATAGAAACTGAAACTGTTGATGAAACAGTAGAACATGAAATTGACGTTTTAGACTCCGAAACTTCCGAAAAAAGTTCAACCTATGTTGAAAAGAAAGAAACATCGTCGAACATCCCCCGTCGTATTCAAGGAGCAACCAGTATTTCGACAAGATGTCAAAGAACAGGTTATTGATGCTCCTACGATAGTACAAACTACCGAGCAGACAACAACTCATACAAACGATAATACTCAATCTTCAGAGAATTCTAAAATCCCAGTAAAAGATAATCCTGAAATTTCGGAGAAGTCTGCTAATGAGATTATTGAAACATCCCCGAATCCTCAAAAGATTCAATTCTCTGAACAAGAAAAACCAGATCATGAGGTTGTTCCTAATTCCCCTATTGTAGACTCAACTACAAGAACGATACCTAATAACGAAGTTAAGGCAAGCGAAGCTACAAAGAAAAATATAGACATTGTAAGTATTAATATTATTCTTTATTTCGAATTATTTGAAAATTTATTGATCAGTTGTTATTAATCTATTCATTTTCGATAATATAGGATTAACATTTGCATACACCCGAAGAAGTCGCCGAACGATATCGCGTTGATATCAATACTGCCAAACCTGCAGAATCGAGAGGGTTGCATGTGAACCAAATTAAAGGTTTATTGGAAGAGTATGGTCATAATATCCTTACACCCCCCAAAAAGAAACATCCCATCGTAAAATACTTTGAATGTTTATTTACTTTATTCAATAATATATTAATGATTGCGGGTGTTTTAATGTACATTTTATTTGCTATTGATCAAAAAGAAAATAAATCCAGTGTTAGTTATTTATTAAATAATTATGTTGAGCATTTTCAATTAAATAATCAAATTATAAATATTAATTATTATTTTCATTTTTTTCTTTTTCACAGACTTACCTTGGTGCTATTTTCTTTGGTGTGGCTTTTTTGAACGCATTCATTGAATTTTATCAATTGCAAAAGTCAGCCGCGATTTTAGAGTCATTTTGAATATGATTCCACAACAATGTTATGTCATTAGAGATGGTAGACTCACAGATCCAAGCATCTACGCTAGTACGTGGTGACGTTGTTTTTGTAAAGATGGGAGATAAAGTTCCCGCTGATTTACTGATATTCGCCGCAACTGATATGAAAGTGGATAACTCCTCCCTTACTGGTGAA